GATGACGGTGTTGATGATGATGATGATGATGTTGATGATGATGATGGCCATGGTGGTGATGATGATGGTGGTGATGATGATGATGGTGTCCCGATGGTGTTGATGATATTGATGATGATGATGACGATGATGGTGTCCCGACGATGATGATGATGATGGTGATGATGATGTTGATGATGAGGACAATGATGTGGTGCTGACGATGATTTTGATGGTGTTGGCCTGATGATGATGCTGATGTTGATGATGATGATGATGGTGTCCCGATGATAATGATGATGATGATGATGATGATGATAATGATGGTGATGATGATGATGGTGACGCTGATGATGGTGTCCCGATGGTGATACTGTTGATGGTGATGATGTTGCTGATGATGATGATGGTGCCCCGATGATGATGTTGATGATGTCGTTCATGATGATGATGAGATGATGATGATGATGATGATGATGATGATGATGGTGTCGTTCCGATGATGAAGGTGTCCCGATGATGATGATGTTGACGATGATGATGGTGACGATGATGGTGTCCCGATGATGGTGATGATGGTGATGATGATGATGATGATTATGGCCATGGTGGTGACGATGATGGTGTCCCGATGATGATGATGATGATGATGATGATGATGATGATGATGATGATGTTGATGATGCTGATGTTGCTGATGACGATGATGGTGTCCCGATGATGATGATGTTTATGTTATTGATGATGTTGATGATGGTGAGATGATGAAGATGATGATGATGATGATGATGATGATGATGATGATGATGGTGACCCGATGATGATGATGATGATGGTGGTGGTGATGATGAGGTTGATGATCATGCTGGTGATGATGATGATGATGATGGTGATGATGATGGTGGTGTCCCGATGATGATGATGTTGATGATGATGATAATTGTGTTCGGTGATGATGGTGCTGATGATGAGGATGCTGCTGATGAGGTGATGATGATTTTGATGATGCTGGCCAGATGATGGTGATGATGATGCTCATGTTGATGATGATCCTGATGTCCCGATGATGATGATGATGGTGGTGATGATGATGGTAACGATGATGATTGCGTCCCGATAATGATGATGATGTTGATGATGGTTTTGCGGATGATGACGATGGTGTCCCGATGATGATGATGATGATGATGATGATGATGATGATGATGATGATGATGATGTTGACGACGTTGTTCATGATGATGAAGAGGAGATGATGATGGTGATGATGATGGTGGTGTTCAGATGATGATGACAATGATGGTTTCCCGATGATGATGATGATGATGATGATGATGATGATGATGATGATGATGTTGATCATGATGATGGTGACGATGATGGTGTCCCGATGATGATGCTGGTGATGATATGATGATGATGATGATGATGTTGGTGATGATGGTGATGAGGTGATGATGATGATGGTGTCCCGATGATGATGATGATGATGATGATGATGATGATGTTGTTGATGACGTTGATGACGATGATGTCGATGATGATGATGATGATGATGATGATGATGATGATGATGATGTTGTTGATTGTGAGATCGATTGTGGTATCGATAGTGAGATCATGAAATAGATCGAGTGGTATCGATTGTGAGATCGGTCGAGTGAGATCGATCGAGGGAGATCGATCGAGCGAGACCAATAGTGAGATCGATAGTAAGATCGATAGTGAGACCGATCGAGTGAGACGTTGGGTCCTCCCCCCCGAACCTCCTTATCCCCCGAAGGGTGGTCGTATAGGTATCTATACACACATATATACACATATATATATACATACATATATATATATATACATATGCACATCTATATACACACATTCACATACATCGATGTATCTATATATATATATATACATGAGCTGCTTCGCTGACCCCTCCTCGACTTGTTCCCCCCCCCCCTTTGCCTCGAATGCCGCCCTTCGGATCCCTCCTCCTCGAGCTCCTCCTCCTCCTCCTCCTCCTCCTCACCCTCCTCCTCCTCCTCCTCCTCCTCCTCCTCACTACTCCTCCTCCTCCTCCTCCTCCTCCCATCCCTTCTCCCCCCTCCTCCTCCTCCTCCTCCTCACTCCTAAGAGGGAAGCCTCCTCCTCCTCCCCTCCTCCTCCTCCTCCGCCTCCTCCTCCTCCTCCTCCTCTACCTTCCTCCTTCCTTCCTCCTCTCCCCCTCCTTCTCTTCCTCCTCCTCTCTCCATCCTCGAATTTGGCCCCTTCGCCTGTGATTGGGGGCGGGGGGGCTCGCCGACAGGCCCGGGGGGGGGGCCGGTCCCAGTGGAGCTGGGCCCGAGCCCGGCTCCATCGACCGCACGCCGCTTGTGGCGACCTTCGGCGCTACGCTTGCGTCGTGCTGAGGGGCTTCGGTGGACGAGCGCACGCTGGAGCGGGCCACACGTTCTGAGGAGGAGGGAGAGGAGGAGGGGGAGGAGGAGGAGGAGGAGGAGGAGGAGGAGGAGAGAGGAGGAGGAGGAGGAGGAGGAGGAGGAGGAGGAGGAGGAGGAGGAGAGAGGACCGGGCGTGGATGCAATCCCCTTGAGTTTGAGCAAGACGCCCTCTCGAGCGCACGCTGGAGCTGGATCATCGAGCCTCCTTCGGACGCGACTAGGACGAGGATAGATCCGTTCCAAGGCGTTCCAGGACGCTCTCGGAGGGCCGCGGCGCCCGAGGCATCCTCCCGAACCGACAGATCTCAGAGATCCCTGGTGTATCCTCGTCCGGATTTATCTTCGTCCTGGCTTCGTCTTAGGACCGGGCGGGACCTGTTGGCTGGAGGCCCGCGGATGGCAAGAGTCAATCCGTGTCGGGAGTCCTGGTTCGATGATCCTCAGGACGTGTGTTAGCCCAATGTGTGTGTATTGTGTGTATTGTGTGTGTGTGTGTTTGCGTGTGTGTGTGTGTGTGTGCGCGTGTGTGTGTGTGTGTGTGTGTGTCTGTGTGTGTGTGCCTTTGTGTGTGTGTGTGTCTGTGTGTGTGTCTGTGTGTGTTTGCCCCCTTTCAGCCCAACCAGGAGCTCATTGCATCGCCTGCGTCGTACCGAAGGTCCTCGATGGACAAACGCACGTTGGGGCTAGCACACGTTCTGAGGAGATCATAGACTGGTCCCCGTCTTCGGATGCAACTCCTGGGAGGTCAAATTCTGATTTTGCCCTGGTCCGGCTTAACCCTGCGTGATCCCGCTGAGTCCAGTTGAATCCCGCTTAATCCGAGGCCCACTCCAGCGCAACAGCCCCCCGATCGGGCTCAATCCTCTTTCATCCTTCCGACGAGGACCTCCAGGTAGTTGCCTGGCAGTCCCGTTCCCTCGGGCTCAACTCAATCCTCCTCCCTCCTCCTCCTCCTCCCCTCCCTCCTCCTCCTCCTCCTCCTCCTCCGCCTCCTCCTCCTCCTCATCCTCCTCCTCCTCCTCTCCTCCTCCTCCTCCCTCGGGCTCAATCCTCTTCAGTCCTCCCTTCCTTTTTCGTCCCGTTCCCCAGGGCCCGCAGCTGCGTGGCCTGGCCCTGCGGACGCCGACAGGTCTCCGGCGGCGGCCGCGCGGGCTCGCCCCTTTGCGGCTTCTGCGCCCGCGGGCGCTCGGTGCGCGGCGCCTTGGCGTCGCGCGCGCCGGAGCGCTCGCGTGCTCGCTCGAGTGCTCCTCCTCCCTATCCTCCTCCTCCTCCTCTCCTCCTCCTCCTCCTCCTCCTCCCCTCCTCCTCTCCTCCGCTCCTCCTCCTTCCTCCTCTCCTCTCCTATCCTCCTCCTCCTCCTCCTCCTCCTCCTCCTCCTCCTCCTCCTCCTCCTCCTCCTCCTCCTCCTCCTCCTTCCTCCTCCTCCTCCTCCTCCTCCTCCTCCTCCTCCTCCTCCTCCTCCTCCTCCGCCCACTGTCATCGCTCGCGTGCGCGCGTGGGGGCTCGATTCGGCCACGCGGACAAGGGCGTATAGGGGGAGGGGGGAAGGCTTCTTTTAGGCGTGGGAGGCGCGGGCCCTGGCCGTAGACTTACAGCCCGCGCCTTCGGAGGAGCGGCCTCTTTCTGAGAAGCCCTTCCCGCCTCCCCCTGCGCCCTTGCGCACGCCGCCACCAGTGGGGGCTCGATGCGCTCGCTTCTCGGATCTCCGACGACATGATGCTTTCGATCCCCGCGTTCTTCCTCGACGTCGGCCTCCGGGAGGGCCCCGGGAGCCCTGGAAGACGGATGCGGAGCGAGAAAGCGCTCCTGCAGGGGAAGGGATCGGGGCCTCCCCGGGGCCGCGGGCCGAAAGCATCATACCGGCAGATGGCAGGCTCTCTCGTTCTAGGAGGAGGAGGAGGAGGAGGAGGAGGAGGAGGAGGAGGAAGAGGAGGAAGAGGAGGAGGAGGAGGAGGAGCTCTCTCTCTCTCTCTATATATATGTATATATCCCATCCATCCCTCTCCCATTCTTCGCGAGGGCGATCTGCCCTACAGGAGCGAGGAGCGAGGCCGACGCTGTTTTTTGGAGAGCGAGAGCGACACGGCAGCGCTCGCCGCGCTCCGTCGCGCCGCTCGCCCGCGCTGTGCCCTGCGGCGCCCAGAGGTCCTGCTGGTGGACACGGTGGGCGACGTCCTCGCGGAGAACTCGAGGCGGCGCCCCCCCGCGGACGCAGCACCGCTTTCCACGGGCGGGGGGGCGCCCCCGCGCCAGCGCGGCCCCGCTTGGAGGCGCGGCCAAACGGCCCCCTCCATACCTGACGGCTCGGGGGTGGGCAGAACCCTCAACGGTGACACGTCGATGAGTGAATTGTCCGTTTCCGGTTCTCGAGGGGGCGCCGTGGCCCTTCTTTTCCAGGCTTGCGCCCGCCAGGTTTGGGCCTCAGGTCGTTTTCACTAAACCACGTTTTACTAAAGGGAGGTCTGGCCATCCCCGAACCTGACAGCGGGAACGGGCGCCGGGGCGCGCCGAACACGGCAGCGGAATCGGGTCGGGCGAAGGGGGGGGGGGTTGGGACAGGGGGGGTTACGAAATCTGCTGCATGCAGCTGGTTTCGGCCCCACCGAGGGGCCCGTTCCTCGACACATGGGCGCCTCCCGGCGCCGGGAGGCGCCGGGAAAATCAGCTACGTGAGCTGATTCTCAAACCCCCCCTTTGCTATCCCCCCCTTTCGCCCGGCCCGACGGCAGGGCTCGGAGGTTGCCGCGCGGCCTCGGCTCGGCTCGGCGGGCGGCGCGCCGACCCGGCAGCGGACGAGCGCCGACCCCGTGCGCCCCATCCGCAGCCCCTGCGAGGCTACGGGGCGTGAAAACGGCCACAGCCACTGCTTTGCTTTTGTTGCCGCCTTCCAGCCCGCAGGAACACAGCAGTGGTTGTGGTCATGTTCGTTGGGCTTGGCACCAGGGAAGTGACCACAACCACTGCTTCTTTTTCGGCCAGCTGGAAGGCGGCGCAAACAAGAAGCAGTGGCTGTGGTCATTTTCCAGTCCCGCAGAGGCCCCCACCAACTTGCCGCCCCAGCTGGGGGCACACGCCTCGGAGCCCGAAGGGAGCGGCCTACACATCCCCATCGAGGGGGGGGCCATCGGCCAGCGGGGCCCAGGCCACGCCGCTGGGGATGGGGGATCGGTCCAACGATACCCTTCGTCGGATTCCCTGCGTCGGGGCACCCTCGGGTAGGCTTAAGTCGGGCCTGTCCCTCTACAGGGGGAAGATTCGAAAGCAGTCAAAACATGGACGACTTGTTTTCCTATGTTTGATTGTTGTTCTGTCATTTGGGAGGTATTTTTCCTTGCTCGTCCAAAATACCCCTGTAGGGGGACATGCCCGATTTCAGGGTAGGCGGTGGGGTCGGGGGTTCGTAGAGGTCATGGCGCCAACATCGCAGAGCGGACTTGTTTCGGAAGACAATGGGATGGGCCCAGGGTGCCCTGGAGAATTGCGCGCGGATTCGTTGGGGCTGGGAATGAAGACTTAAAACAAATCCACGTGAAGTTCACTCCGCTTTTCACTCGCCGTTTCGGGGTTCTGCATTGACAGAAATCCATGCGAAAATCCGCTGCGGCACGTCTGCAAGGTTGGTGCAGTGATGGATGGGGGGTGTTACAAGGTGGGGTTAACTCAGGCGTGTCCCTCTACATGAGGAGCAGCCAAGACAGGCAAAAAATAGTCTGGGGGCGATTTGCTGACGACTCCTGGCTGTTCTTGGGCATCTGTTGGCCCATTGCCAGTGTGCCCTCCAGGAGCCCCCTGTAGGAGGACATGCCCCACCGAGAGGTGCGATCGGGGAACGGGCCGGGCCCAGCTGGATGCTCACACTTCGGGGATCTTCTGACCCGGGTCAATCCAGACCCGGGTCAGCAGGAAACCAAAAGACTGCAATGCAGGAACATTAAAAAAAACAACGCATATTGTCGGGGGAATCGAAGATTCATGGTGTCTGTGTTTTTCCCTCCTGATAACCCCTCCACCGCCTTTGCCAACTACGCTGGGCCGGGAAGAGGCGCGCAAGTGCGTCCCGACTTGCGTGGATCGGGGATCTTCTGACCCGGATCAATCCAGACCCGGGTCAGCAGGAAACCAAAAGACTGCAATGCAGGAACAACAACAAAAAACTGCAACGCGGGTCTTCGCAAACCCGGGCCAGCCAACATGTGCGGCCGCCTCGCGGCCACGAGCGGCTCCCTGACCCGGGTCGGCCAGAGGGGGCCTCCGCAGGATCCTGCGGGATCCGGCGCCCTGGCTGACCCCCGTCTGCATTGACCCCCGTCTCGAGGCCCCCGAGGGGTCGGCGCTCGTCCGCCGCGGGGCCGGCGCGCCGCTCGCCCGCCGAGCCGAGGCCGTGCGGCAACCTCCGAGCCCTTCCGCTGCCGCTGCCTACGCTGCCAGACCACCCCAACCCAACCCGCAGGCCCGAATTTCGGGCTGGGGGGGGCACGGGCCTCATACAGTCGGGGCGTTGACCTAAGGAACCCTAAATAAGGAACGAGGCCCCTTTTTTCCACAAGTTGAGCTCTCCAAGGGGGCCGTGCAGAGCGCTTGCCCTCTGACCCCACCGCTGCCCCTCGCGCCGCGCCCACGCCGCGGCGGCGACGGCACGGCCACACGGCCTGTTAGTATGTATCCCTGACCGGGCTCTGTGGCCTCCAGCTGGGTTTCCATCATCATCGTCACCACCATCATCATCATCATCATCATCATCATCATCATCATCATCATCATCATCATCATCATCATCATCATCATCATCATCATCATCATCATCATCATCATCCTCATCCTCATCCTCATCCTCATCATCATCATCAGCATCAGCATCAGCATCAGCATCAGCATCAGCATCAGCATCAGCATCAGCATCAGCATCCTCATCAGCATCCTCCTCCTCATCATCATCATCATCATCATCATCACCATCACCATCACCATCACCATCACCATCACCATCACCATCATCACCGCTGCCCCTGCCCCACCTTTGCGTCCCTAGGAGGGGGGCGTTGACCTGGAGGTGCCCTTCGTAAGGGTGCCTACCTTCGTGAGCGTA